CCGATTGAACGCAAAGCCATTAATAATTGTGTGATCCAATGGAAATCACTTGCATCCTATCTCTAAAAGATCACTAACGCTCTGACAATGTAGAAACTTCAATGGATTCCATTGCGGAAGAGAATAGTTAACACTTCATTGACCAATTATTGAATATGCTGGTGCAAATAATTTAATTTGGTCAGTATTCCTTAAAACTTACAAACTATGTCCTTGTTCTAGCTCATTTTTGTTATTTGAATATTTTATAACTGCCATGTTTTGTGAAAAACGATGCGTGGCGAGTGTTTAAGTATATAGCAAAAAAATTTGAACTTTCCAACTTTCTATCGACCATGATTGACATGTCTATGACTGTTAACGTCTGTAACACTTTAGAGAGCTATATGATGTTTATAAGTGCCTGGGATAGTTTGAAACGTTCTGAACGTACTTGCTTTGGATACTTGAGAACAGCGTGAGACAATTTGTTAGGTTTCTGGATCATGGTTCGAGTCACTCCTTATGTTTCACATTTTCAATCCCGTAGAAAGTATAGTCAAAAACTTTTAGACAATATTTGATTTTATTGGTTGTTTTTGTATGAGTAGTGACTCAATCAACAGCTTCCTTGCTGTGTCTTTTTCCAACCATTTTATATCAATTTTATTTTCATGATCTTTTCGTTCAAGAATTATTTGAAGAAAATTGTTTTCTTTTGTTGGTTTCATAAGCATATGCAAAGAGGATTATACCTTTGTTCTTACTAGATTTCTCCAATAGATTCGCTCGAAAATCTATGCCTTTATCATAGAATCAGTTAAATTCTCGAATAAGAAGGCAGAACAAGAGATGAGCCCTTGTTTAGTAAGTCATGATAAGAGTGAATCTTCACAAGTATGTGAATTTTTGTTTTCCTTTTAGTTACTTCAGTAATTGTTGAAAATCGCCTGACGTTCGGCGTGACTAGTGATACCTTCTGCCAGTATCAACATTAAAAGTACGCGTGCCTTCCATGGATGAAGACAATCGGAAGCGATAAAACCAAGCTCATCGTCGTTTACAGCGCCGTTATACATAACGTGGCCAGAAGGCACACGAGACGAGCGCACAACCGCTACACCTCTCTGCACTGCCTCTGCTGCTGCCTGTTGCAGTATCGTGTGAATCGATCCATTACCAGTACCTGCGATTACAATACCCTTAACCCCCATATTGACGAGTGTCTGGATGACGAATGCCGACGGTTCTGTATAACTCAGAACGATTTCCACCCAAGGCATTGTTGAAGACGGAAGGGAAAAAATATTAAATCGGCTCTGTATGGTATGCATGCGTGTAACACTATGCAGATACTGCACATCGCCGTCCTGTATCCATCCAAGTTTACCCATAATGGGAGAGCGAAACGCTTGAACGGCAGCAGTATCCGTTTTTGTTACATAGCGTGCACTATGAATCTCGTCATTCATCACTACTAGTACTCCTTGACCGGATGATTTTTTGCTTCCTGCAACCATCACGGCTTGGTACAAATTTAAAGGACCATCGGCTGCAAGCGCAGTTGCGGGTCGCATCGCGGCGGTAATCACAACGGGTTTCACGCTTTTTACCGTTAAATGTAGAAAAAAAGCCGTTTCCTCCAGTGTATCCGTGCCATGTGTAATAACGATGCCGTCGACAGTGTTACTATAAAGTAATGCATTAACACGTTGTGCGAGCTCTATCCATAACCCTGTTGTCATGTCCTTACTATCGATGTTCGCTAACTGTTCAGCTTGAATTTTTGCGATACTTTTAAGTGTTGGTACAGCTGCCAGCAATTGGTCTACACCGAGTACACCTGCATCATGACATACCGTATTCACTGCGCTAATTCCTGTACCGGCGATCGTCCCACCTGTTGCCAATATAGTTATATGCGGCAGCATTGACTAGAAAAATAAAGATGTCGTAATAAGAACATGAGTGGTGTCTCAACTCTAGGACACGATATATCAATTTTCAAGCTCATTTAGACTAGTGGTCTATAAACTCAAACCTCTTCAGAAACTGTTTCGAAAAGATTTCTAGGCCCATGTCAAGTTTCTGAAAACACAGTCTAGGTTTCCGGGTTTTCGGAAAAAAATGGGCTTTCACGAGATCGGATTCGGAAACTCTCAACTGTATTCTCAGAAACCTTGGCCTAGTCCTGAGAATTGCATAATTTTCTCGACAGCTGCTTTTGACTTGAAAGCCTTCACGGAAATCCTGTGCATATTCTTGAATACCTTTGAGTTGCCGGATTTTGTTATGAGAAACGTTCGAAGCGTTTTCCAAAAACCGAGTATGGCTTCTGACCATTGTTCAGAAACTTCTAGGAGTTTCTGACTATTCGAAAAATCTTTGAGTTTTCGAAAAAATTCTCATAAACCGATTAATTATCATGGAAAGCTCTAATGGTACTTGAGTTCGTTATTTTTTTCTCACGTTTCCATCGTATAATTTTCAGATTTAGGAGTTGCTTTTCAGCAGGATATAAATTTTACTTAACTTATGTGAAATTGTTTTATAAAAGCGTCATAACCCTGAAAGTTAAAAAAGGTGACTTGTGACCAGAGAAACTAAGCTAATTGTTAAAGCTCGCATCGCCTATAAATTTGCATGAATTATAAAAAAAATTTAGCGTAAGAGTCGAAGAGATGCACTAAATTGACTCTAAAGAATGTTGTATTTTAGGTTTTCATTCATTCGTTCTTTGTTCAATCTCCAGACATTATTAAAGTGCGAAAAATGCTGAGTTTAAGCAGAAAATTGTTTTCCTCTTTTTCTGTTTTTGATGAAGAGAGTCGATTGAGTTACATCAGCAAAACTGTAATCTTACAGGTTTCTAAATTGGTTTTTGTCGGAAAAAGTCAAAAGAATAAGTGTTTGTCGAAAACATGCTAAACTGTCTTAAAATACTAGTAGAATCATAAAAAAGCTTCTGAGCACTTGCCAACTCATCAAGTGGTATTTTATGAGTGATGAGAAAAGTAATTTCCAGTGAATTATAGTGAACATACCAACAAGGAAAAAACAGGGCATCTAATAAAAAAAAAAGATTCGTCGTGTCGAAAATCAACTTTTTCGATATTAGGAATAAAAGAATAAAAATGAGTACGTTTTTTGAAATTTTGACTATGAAGATTGTGTTTTCAAATAAGATGCATGTGATATTTGAAATCAAAATAACAAATCAGATCGAATGATATAGGCTTCATTTAAAAATAATTGTCATAAAAATTCGATCCCTGCTTTCTCTCTTTGCTAGTAGAGACCATTTCAATTAGGTCCTTCCCGAGTCAAATTTCGATGACAAATATTTTTAAACGAAGCCTATGTCATTCAATCTGATCTGTTATTTTGATTTCGACTATCGCATGCATTTTATTTGAAAACGCAATCTTCATAATCAAAATTTCAAAAAACGTACTCATTTTTTATTATTTTATTCCCGATATCGAAAATGTTGGCTTCCGATATATCGAATCTTGAGTGTGGAGGGGTCGATGTAGGTGTGGTATGGATGTGCACCTGGTTGTGAGTATGTATCTAACATCTTCACAACTCACACCCTTCGCCGAATATACCCGAAGTTTTTATCTGAATTTTGATTTACTATCAGATAGAGCATGCCATCAGCACCTTTAATGAATACGCAAGAATACGAATCGAGGCCCTTATTGAGATATGGCGTGTCAAATAAAAGCCTTCACTGCAGACTCGCTCAGAGCGACTTTTTTTTATTAATTATTTATCTTTCAAATCGATTGTTTCCAATAAACAACGTACGTTCAAGTTTATACATTTTTAAACTGATATATCAATTGTTTCTAGCATTAGAGATCTTATTGGACAACGTTGATAACTCACGATGAAATCTTTTCATGTGCTAAATCGTTTTCTGGATTGAGATTATATTCATTCGATGAGTGCTAATGAGCGTTAAAAAAGTCTAGAATGATTTTGTTTTCCAGCCTTTCATTCTTACGGTATCGAATTTCTACTTAATTTTTCAACAGAAGCCAATAGTCGTTCCTCAAATCACGTTGAAGGTTGAATTTTGAGTTTTGGCTTAATATTTTGCACAAATTATGGTCCGACGGTGACTAGTTCGTTGGAGATATTTCAGGTTTTTTCGTTGCTTCTGTCATAAGATACGAATATAAGTAGAACTTTTGCTTTATCATTCAATAGAATTTTGAATACACTTGTCTCACTAATAGCTGAAAATTACACAAAATATCAAGTTATTATATAGAGTAATTTTAGGGATTGCTTCTGTGTTCTTTTTTTCTGTTCACTGTGCCAGAGCCTCATCCACACCTTAATATGAAAAATAATTTCATAGATTCTTTCAACTGCTAACAATCATTGGTTCACTTTGTATAAATATAAATTCTAATCGAACATAACTTTATTTAATTTTAATCGAGTTGATATCTAACATGAACAACTTAGAATAACATGTTTAATCAGTTTATATAATTGTCATTGTAACTATTACATTCATGTATGAATATGATTAGCAGAGAGTCAATCTCTTAAGATTAAATACGATAATGGTAAACGATCTTTTATTCATTAAACAAGTTCATCTTTGTTTTGTATTTTTTCATTCGAAAAGTAATCATTTGTTTCCTGATAAAGGCAAATGTCCAGCAATCTTTTCATCGAGACAAATAATATACAATACTCGACGTTTTATCATATTTTTGACAAGAATAATAATACTTTCACGATTTTTTCACCACTATAGAAATTATTTGACATTGAGAATCCACTGGTGAATGGCACAATCAAATACCTTCTTGTTTATCAGCATGAGATGTTACTACCATTGAATATAATCGATTCAGAATTGGAAAAATAGATCGAAATTGATGATTGATAGGCAATATCATGTAAATAAAACTTATGTTAGGAAAACAAATGTTGGATGGAATCGATGAGGTAAAAAGTCCTTATCATCACGTCTTGATGCAAATGTAACAAAAGGAATGAATCGTTTACTTGAATTTCCATTAAATAGTCATCCAAGAGCAGGTTGTTTATCAATACCAAATGATTTGAATCCAATAGGATATTTTGATCCATGTAAAGAAGGTTTAGTACTCAAATTAAATGATTTATGTCAATATGTTGAACAATTACCAAAACAAAATCAACAAACTGATGATGAAAAATATATTACAAAACAAAAAGTTCTTTCTTAACTAAATGAAAGAAAGAAAGAAAAATTCTTTTTTATTGAATAGATTATGATCAAGCTTCTCTGAAACCATTTATTCATATATTTGGTCATTTTGTTCAACGTTTACAAACAACTACATAAGATGAAACATTAGCTGAACGTAGTCAGTTATTTTTGTTATTTTTTGTCTTGTTTTCATGGCTTGTCTATTTTAGGTCTTAATAAAGCCCTAGACACATTAGAAGACCCTGGGTCTTCCATTCTATCTTATCATTCACAAGTCACAAGAGGATCTTCTAATATGTCTCTAAAAAAAGTCAAATTTTTTGGTGATCTCAACGAAAAATCCTAATTTCAACACTTTTTTTTAATACACCGTTAGTAAACGAATTTATTTTACTTAATCCGCCCTCATCAATGGAAAAGAAGAATAAAAAAGAACTATGTGATCACTAGTCTTTTATACTGATTATAGCATGCCATGATTACAAGCGGTTTTATCTATAGATTTCAAAAAGAAGTGTACCACCCATAATTAACGATTTTTATAAAAATGAACACTGAATTGTGTCAATCTGAGTTTTAGCTACTTGTAAGAATAATTTCCAGTTCTTTTCACAAAATATATTCAGACATCTTGCAGACAATGAAAAAGTATGTATTAAGATATTGGATAAGATCAAATAAAGTCTGATACAAATCTTCAAAAATCAAGAATGTTTATTTATAGATATAACAAGATTTATCCGATTTTTTTCCTATTACACTGATTTGATTGCATAAAGTTCTTTTCTATGAAAGTATCACTGACTTGAAGTAGATTCAAAAAGAACACTGAAAACAGCCTTAGAAATTTTTCATGACTCTTGATAAGATATCTAAAGTATTTAAACAGAAACAGAGCCGGTGGAAAGAATTTTGTAAATAATAACTCGAAAACTCTGAAAGAGTTCTTTTTTATCAGAGATCAAGCAACGTTTGTTTTTGTTCAACCTACATCATTTTCTTCTGATTGAACCTTGCGAAGATTCTAGATGTGTAAAACATAAAGTGTTCTATCTACTGATGCAAGATTCTTCCAACTTAGAACAGGGTTCGTTGACAAACAAGCTTACAGAATTTGATTGAGGTGCAGCAAAAATATGGAAGATCGTTGCCAAACGAGTAAATATCTATTTATTTTTTCAATATATTAACGATAAGATAACTCCATCTTGAAAAAAAAAAGTCAAGAGATCTACGGAATGGAATAAAACCTCTGGAATGTACTTCTAATATTTATCGCATTTTGGGAACCCAAAATAGTTTGAAGATGCTTGATAACCAAGATTTTAGTAAACGACTTCTTTGATTTTTCATGGTATCTAAATGTTCTCTAGCCTCATAAGTCATGTTGTTTTTGCTTGACTAAGACCATGCTGGTTGTTTCATATTGCACTTTTTCTAGACACATATCCATCAATACCAGAAGCTGGAAACGAAACGTTAAATCAGAATGATTATCTGAATCGAAGACTATTTTCACGTAAGACGAGGCAGGGAAGAAAAAACCTTCTCGTTCTGGTCTTTGAACTGAAATTGCAATTGTAATCATGATGAAGATCGCATATAAAGTTATCTCTATAACTACAGTATATGTTTATCAAGATTGAAGTTTTGAGTCTCAAATCTTGCTGTTTATACTGTATTAATTAGTTTTCGTATAATAGAGGAAATGACGCAAAATCCATATAATAATATAGAAATTAAACGATCAACACTAGAACCGCTATTTCTCATCATGTCTAGAATATACTCTATATCTTCTAGGTTAATAGATAGCTTCATAGTTACATCAATATAAAACTAGATTCACAGATCGATAGCTAGATTAATGTGTTGTCGAAGTCAAAATTACATCAAAATAGAATATCAATTTCATGAATGTTTTCGAAACATGTCCAAAGTTCTCTTCTTTCGATTACTGAAAATCATAAGTCACTAACTGGTATTGTTGTCAAAGTATCACGATTACACCTACTACTTTTAGTTCTGACATCGACATCAACGTGTAGCAAACGTGTGAAAAATAAAAATTGTAATCTACCTTTGTTATCACTTCGACACATTTTACACTCGGCATTTCTACTAATTTTCTTTTCAACATATTTTTTTTGTGTACTCAAAAAGTGAGTACACTACTAAAATCGGTCAGTGTGTCCGACCGGCCGTCCGTCCGTCCGTCCGTTTATCCGATAACTTTCGAAAGGAGAGTCAGATCGCGATGAAATTTTCTACACAGTTCAGTCTTTACAATATCTCGGTCGAGTTCGAAGATGAGAAGAATCCGTCGAGAAATGGCTGAGTTATAAAAAAAATGGTGATTTTTGACCAGGCCATCCCTGAGGGGGGTACGGGGATTTTTCCAAAAAAAGTTTTTTGCTCATAATTATTCACAAAATACATTAATCGACTCAGTTTTTAACGCCGATTCTGAATCTGATATTAGTTTTGAAGCAAATTATAGTTTTTGTGTACTCAAAAAGTGAGTACACTATAGGATAGTCAGTGGCCGTCCGTCCGGTCGGATGTTTACATGATAGCTTTTGACAGCAGAGTCAGATTGCGATGAAACTTTCTACACACCTTAATCTTAACAATATCTTGATCGAATTCGAAGATGAGAAGGATCGGCCGAGGCGTTCCTGCGTTATTGCAAAAATACGCATTTTCCCCTATGGCTTCCTATGGAAAAGTCGACCCACTACCACTTTCGTAAAGAACTTTTCCTATCATAGTCAATTAAAACCCCAACTATTATGCACCATTCGATAGAGAATTTCAAGAGCTATAGAATGATATATAAAATATTAAGAAACAACAAAACTAACTCACCTATTGGTAAGATAAATAAGCTGGAATAAGATCGGTTTGTAGTGCACGCTTCAATCGGTCCTCAAGGGGAACTCTGTCTTTCTATCATAGAGGTGATAATCGAAGGTTTTCTAGTATGGAGAACTCGAATCTGTACTGCGCTTGCCTCGAAGGTCTATTGGTTGAACATTGACCAATAGAAATTAAGTTATAGGTAAAACGGCTTTCTGAGGCTAAATTAGACAGAAGAGTTGAAATCTGAGCTTAATTCGGTCTCAAATCCTATTGATTTGTCAACCCGCAATAGAAATGAACATTTTAAATGGTAGATTTCCGAGTATAATATTGATGTTTTCGAGAGTCTAGGATAATTGATTTTATATGATTCACTTTTTCGAGTACACATAACTCTCGGATTTGAATCCGAAGTTTCCGCATTTATTTTTTATCAAAATTTGGCTTAAGAACTAATACTCAAGTGAGTACATCATGAGATGCATTGTAAGACTATAAGTAACAAGATATTCAGGTAACCAGTTAGATCGACAACTAGATGAATAGATAATTACAAAGTGGCACAAAAATAATAGGACAAATAGTTTTTTCATTTTTTTTTATTGAACATAGTAAGTTAAAGCTCATATTTATACCACATATACTAGGTGACATAATGCCAAGATACAGCATATGATCAATGTCTAAGTGTTATAATTTCTATTAAAGCGTACAAACATAGAGCAGTCAAAAGTAAGAACACTTGCGATGTTCAATAAAAAATCGAAAAAATTATTGGTCCTGTTACTTTTGGGCCACCCTGTAGTTAGATAGATAGATAGACAGATGATAAATGTCCATCACAGAGTTAATAATAGCAGATATATTTTTGAATAACTATCGAATGGGGATGGCACTTTTACTTTCTTCTAGAAAAGGAAAGTCGAAAAATTTTCTTTTTGTTTTTCGTTCTGTAAAAGATTGAGCCGCATTTCTTATGTTGTTCTATAGAGAGAAAGTTAAAAAGAAAGTGAAAACGAAGGCCATACTGGTAGTACTCATGAGCGCTTATATGAGCGTCAGTGTTTGTCTGATCTCGACTAGAAAACAGAAGTTACAGTTACTTCTTAGTTTCGTTACTAAGCAATTAGCAACAGAAATTTTGCGATTTTATGGAATGAGTAAGTAATTTTCTAACAATAACGATTATCTCATAAAGTTTGATCGAGAAATCCAAATCTGTACCAGAGAACGTCTCAGGACATCAAAAAGTTCGTTCTGCATGTTGATAAAAATAAAGTTTCTATGAATACAAAGGCACGATATCAAATCTTACAAAAGTACTAAGTACATGAAGTTACTTACAATCACCTTGTTAATAAATTTCATCACACATATTCCTACCGAATAAAATGAACAAAAACAATTGTCATACGAAAAGTAAACAAAAGAATAAGAAAAGGCACGTACGGATTCTGAAGTCACAATATAATCAAAAGAAACAGATGAAAACAAGAAAGGAGTTTTTTTCAGTTTCTCCTATGAAAAAATAAATAATATCTGATCGATATGACTTGCTGATAAACGTGTTTCTTGTTGAGTATATGTCAACTCAGATAACCTAAATAGTTTTTTCAACGAAGCACTAGTTGATGTTAAGACATGTATTTTTATAATTACCATTAATATTAATGGAAAACCACGATGGCTTCTACTAATAGACTAGAAATTCATTGGATTACCATCGGTTAGATGACTCGAGTATAAAAATATGTAGAATAAGGTGTTTTTCTTACTCTGTATTCTGACTTCTATCCTTATCTGTTTCTAAGTATTTTTTTTTTGACACCGCTCTATGCAATCTCTTAGTTGTAGGATTTCGTGACCCTGATTACCTTTCATCAAAATTGATGAAATAATCATTATTTTTAGAATATAACTTGGCTATTCGAAACCAGACAAACACTCGCACTCATATAAGCGCAAATGAGCGTTATCTGTATACCATTCGTTTTCGCTTTCACCTTTGGTTTTCTTTCTTTATGACTTATTTCGTTTTTTTTAATACTTTCTCTTTCTTACTTTATTCTATTTTCTTTTTACTTGGTTTTTTATTTTACTCGCAAACAAGAACGCAAGAGTTCGTACTTCCGATATTGTTTACAATAGGCAAATTATTTTTTTTATTTCTCTTATTGGACGCGTGGTAAGATTCGATTCGACTATAACCTCTATCACATGTTAATGAAAGTATGTTTTCATTCATAATATTATCTTAAGCAAATTCCAGGTATAGCTGTGGGTAAAGAGAGTACTTGCAACCGCAGCTCCATCAACATTCAGACCATTTACAACTACATCCAGATACACCCACACCCCAGTCTATTCCAGAAGAGAAATTCAAAAATTTTTCACATATAATGTTTTTTTCGTCTTCTTTCATTTCGACATCTTGAAAAGGATTCTACCAACTATGCGTCACATTGTGAATACGTTATATGATTCATTGATAATACATGCTGAAGGTGACGAGTTTTCTTTTGTTTTTTTTCTCATCCTTGTCGATGAGAACGAAAGAATCTTTCGAAAAAATTACATAGACAGTCACAAACATTTTGAACTGCTTGAGAGAGTCATTGAATTTTTTTCCAACATAACAATTTTTATAGAGTGAAATCTTGTGTTGACTTCAGTTATTTTAGAAAAAAATGACCTCACATAGAACTGCACGTGGACATGCTTGGCGTATTAAAATCATCGGTCTTGAACCGGATGTGACTGTTGCCCACTTATCAAGCCAATTCGACGTAAAACCTCAACAAATAACCATCCCTAAATGTCAAACACATTCGTCTAAATGGTATGCATTGATTAATGGATTCGAAAGTGAAGAACAAGCAATTGTTTTCCTCTCGCAATGGAACGATATGTTTATAGATACAAAAATCAAGATTAGCTATGAACTTGATACAGACATGAATGAATCAACGGTGAAGGAGTTAAGTTCAAACATAGATTCCGATTCTACTAGGTCACAATTTACAAGTTCGAATCGGTCTACATACAACCATGAATCGGATGACGATGACGATGTATTGTACAATGAAAATGGTAAGGAAGAAAACACCAAATACATCGATAGCATTTTCACATGAGAAAAAATGAAAATGTAAACAGTTTGACAAATGATTTCTCGAGCAAAAAAAACAGTGGTGTTCAAGTTTTGATAGTGTAACTAAAGTTTCTTACACAGCACTATCTATGAAAAAGAAAACAAAGATAAAGGTTCTACTGCAAAAAAAATCTTCGTTGTTTTTGAAAGGTAGCGCTTTCGGTTCTTACACATTTATTATCTAACTTATACATATTAGAAGTCAAGAAGTCATGGAAATTTCTGTACTTTTTTGGTAATATCTGAAATTCTCAATATGTTCAAGGCTAGAGTCTTTCTCTTTATAGTAGAATAGATTGAAATGTTGTTCTCAGAACCCATCTGTTCTACCAGCTTTACAGTGTTGGTCTCATCATTGTTTCGATACTTTCCGAGAGTTGTTCGAGATGTTCCTTCAATTCGTACGTCTTGCCGTGGATGTACTAATGCGCTATCTGAAATTTTTGATAAATGATGATATTTACTTTTTTTAGAAATTTGAACGTCGCCCGTTTAATCAAAATATTGAGGAACTGAATTTGCATTGTACTTTACCCATACCTTCATTCTATTGTTCTAAAAGAAAAGCTTTTTTTCTGATATTCTCAAATTCATAGAAAGTTTTTCGATCACACACTTTAATTTTGAAGACTTACTGTGAGGAATATCATGTTTTCCTATTTCGAGGAATCCGAACAAATAAGGTTTCAATCTATACCATTAGTTCTATGTTGACAGATAGTGTAAGAAACGATTACCAACAAGAGCATGATGATTTATATTCGTCTCAACCAAGAACACATTCTAAACGTACAGCATGTCGTCATGGCGATAGTTGCTATAGTGTTGACTGTCCATACAGACATTCGTCAGAATGGCGTGCATGCAAGAAAGGTGCACAATGTAAAGATTATGCTTGTTCAGCTAGTCATCCACGAAACCGTAAAGCCAAATGTAGGCATGGTAGTGAATGTTGGACGATGGATTGTTCCTATTTACATCCGAATAAGAACAAATCTAAGCCTTCTTCCTACGACGATGGTCAAAGTGCCAGGCGTTGTTCCGATAATTCATCTGATCGAATGGAAAAATTTGATGAAAATTCGTCACATTTTCAATCGAACGAAGATGATTTTGTCAAGGTAGAATATAACTATCGATATCTATTGTAATCACTCGTATCTCTTGAAATCTACTTGAATAGGATCAATACACTTATACGAATAGACACGATTCTCAACGAAAGCATCCCTTTAAGTCAATCACTACTCGAATGGCTGAACGCGAAAGAGCTCAACCATCAATTTTAGCATCAAGAAATAAATTTTGTGAAAGACTTCAACGAGAAAAAATACTTGTTGTTACGGTTGAGACAGGCTGTGATGCGACTACTCAATTGCCACAATATGCAGCTGAATGTTTTCCTGATGATTTGGTTGTCTGTACTCAACAACATCCAATCGTAGCCATAACATTAGCTCGTCAAGTTGCTGACGAATATGACGGTACGTCAGAAGGTAATTCTGTTGGCTATCAAATTGGAAATGATAGTCATCAAAAGAGTGAGTGCGTGACTGGCAAGAATATTATGTATATGACAGATGCAGTACTCATCCATGAATTTCAAATGGATTCAAATTTAAGTCAAATACGTGTCTTGATCATCAACAACGCTCATGAACGTTTACTTAACATAGATATTGTCATGGGCATTGCCAAATTATTGTTAGCCAAACGAAGAACGAACTTTTATGTTGTTGTGATCACTTCGGCCACCATTGATCCTATGCCATTTTTAAATTTTTTTGATCATTTATCGAATCGACCGTTAGATATTAAAAGTCACAAACATTCAGTAACTGTTAAAAATCTACCACCACCTATGGATTGTCCAGATTATAAGTTTATCGAACTACATCTTATACCGACTTTATACAATCTATATCCCAAATATAGCGGACATACACTCGTATTCTTACCTAGTCAACGTGATATTGAAAAAGCACTTCAAATATTCAATCGAAATATTCCAAATCAATGTGTAGTATTACCTTTTTATGCATCATTACCAATTGAAGAACAAAACAAAATACTTCAATTTGATGAACAACAATCAAATCAACGAATGATTATTTTTTGTACAAATATTCTTGAAACATCATATACAATCAAAAATGTTCAACTTGTCATTGATACTGGTCTTATCCGACAGCTACATTTTGATATTCAACATCATTTAAACATTTTTGAAACAGTACGTATTTCACAATTTTCGGCTATGCAACGCAGAGATCGAGCAAGTCAGATGAAAAATGGTCATTGTGTTCGTCTTTATAACGATAATGAATTACAAGAAGAAAATATCGTACCTGAAATTCTTCATTCTTCACTTGATCTAGTAATTCTTCAATTAAAATGTTTACATCTTGACATACAAACATTTCCTTTAATGACTAAACCAGATTCATCATCAATACGTAGTTCACTTGATCTTCTTACCACTTTGATATGCATTGATAAGGATACAAAAATAACAAAACGTGGTGAACTCTGTGCTGAGCTATCACTTCATCCACGTTTCAGTGCATTCATGATCAATATTTACACAGAATACAAAGACAACCAACAATTACTTTCAATTGTGGCTACTATCGTGGCCATTTTGTCAACACCCGGTTCTCTCTTTTTAATCACTGACACTATCGATGATTTGAACGACAACATTCGCAATAGGACAATGTCTAGTGCAGAAGAATATAATAGTGATTTATTAAATCTATGCACAGTGTTCAATGATTGGAAAAAAAAAGGTACCATTGATCTGATGACTCATAAATGTATTGATTGTAAGAAATCATCTCAACATGAATCCGATGCATGTCAGTCATGTCGTACAAAGTACTCGTTCATGAATGGACTTAACAATCAAATTCTTGAATTGATCGAAAGTTCGATAAAGTTTTATATTAATACTATAACTGATTCTCGTTGGAAGTTAACACCAGGTACTAAACGTGCCGATAAACGATTAAGTAATGGAGATATCATTGGAGAACATCTTCAAAAATTGTTTCCTGATCAAATTGGACATCTTCTTGTGCCACATTTGCCAGATGAAGGGGCTCGTCTTATTACAAATGATCTGCGTGCAAGTATTGCCAATAGTAGCACATACGTTCAACGAGCACATGATTATAAACGACAATATTTCGTAGCTATGTTCATTACACGATCACTTTCAGGAAAGTATATTGTTGATCGTCTTCATCAAATATCTGCACATAAACTTCCAAAATCACCTATAAAACAACTAGTTGTTCGAGAAAATATTGGATGGTCTATTAACAAAGAAATACGAACTCTATTCAATAGTATTCGTACTGAATCATGGGCAAAATGGCTCGTATATGAGTATAATCAATCATCATGCCAGTTAACGATTTGGGGTCTTAAAACAGAACATTCTCGTATAGAATCAATATTAAAATCAGTTCTAACAAAGACTCATTCGAAAACAATTGAATGTGGTTCAATACGAGCAACATTTGAAAATGGTTTAATTTGTTCTACAATTGAATTAATGGAAAATGCTCTTCGACTTAATCTTCAACGAGTACCATGTAAAAGTTATGAAAAATTACAACAATGGCTTAAAGTTAAACTGGATATTAATCGACATGATATAAAAGAGAATAATTTTCAAGAATGTAAATCAAGTGGAAGCGATGATGACGATGATGATGGTTATGAAGCACCACCTTTTTACATTTTACTAAAATCAACTGAAGCTTTTCAAAGAGCAACAGCACGTTTACCATTATATCATGTTTGTCCTCAAGAAATGTTATCATCATCTACAACTGGTACACACATGAACGAGAAAGATGCATGGGGTCGTCATTTAGTATTAACAATTCCACAAGATAGTAAATTCATGACTGCTAAACAAATACTGAATCAACTTACTCCACATGTCGTCGATTGTCGACGTTTCGGTAAGAGAAGTACGAAAGCTCAACCTGCTATTCAACTAATCAATATGCCAAGAGATGCCAATGAATCATTCATACGTCAAATTTTACAATCAGTTAATCCGTTAAAAATTAGTGTAAGACAAACACATCAAGATGGTACAGGTTCATCATCGGCACATATATTTTTTGCTGATAAACAAGAACGTCAACAAGCTATTACAATTCTTCAATCAGATTTTTGTCAAAAACCAATTCAAATCACTGTTCGACATCGAACAAGTCATCAACTTGTAAAAAAGCAAATTGTACCAACTGTTACTGAATTGGAAGGAAAAGCTCCAATACAAAATACATTTCTTCTTACAGCAATTAATCGTGAATCAGCACTTCAAATATACAAAGACATTGTACCAAAAATGGACGCATCATGGAAAATTGATGGTTCAGCAACAGTAACCGTAACACATCCTCATTTATATCCTGATTTTGATACACTTATTCAACAAATAGCTAATAAATTTGAAATTCAAGTTGAACAACAACCAATCGATCAAAAACAACAGAAAGGTCGTAGTAATGGTGGTATTCGTTGTTATTTTAATCACGGTACTCCACAAAAAACGGCATTAGCAGCAGCTATGCTTGCACAAGCCACATCTCCAATTATCATCAAAATGATCAATCATCGACAAAAGCAATTGTTCGATGAACTTTTCTCAACTGGTATCATTCAAGATTGGTCGAATAAATTAAAACTTGAAACCATTAAAAAAGAAAAATATGTTACATGGATCGAAATTCGAGGTCCTCAAGTTCAACAAGGTCAATTGATGCGTCAAATTGCCGATTATTCTGATACATTTGATGAACGATTTCGTGTACTTGAATTAAATTCAACGACGGCGAACTTTTTTGGACGCAAAAAATTAGCCGATAGTCAACTTCAGACACTTGCTGATACATGGATAAATTGGGGTTGTCATGTTACTTATATGTCGAAAACAAAGTCGATTGTCATCTATGCAGAACCTTCAACACAACAAAAGTTCATTAATTCATGTGAAACAGAGATCAAACAAATTTTGAGCAAACTTTCAGTCGATGGTAATATTATTCGCGATAAAAAGAAATGTGTATTTTGTGGTAAAACGTCCTATTCAACAAATACATTACGTGCATGTGGTCATGCCTATTGTCGATGCGCTTCAACTTTTTTGCTACAAACATTTCCATTAAAATGTAAAGAATCGAAATGTAAGATGAATATCGATATGGATGATCTATTCGAAATCTTTCAAGACCGAGAAGAACTTATGAGTGCATGTAAAAAATCAATTCAAATCTATTTAAAAAAAAATTCTAGTCTCAATGATCAAGTATTTTGCCCTAATGCAACATGTATCGGTCTAATTACACGCAATTGTGGCTATCAAACTTGTCTAACATGTGGACGAGATGTTTGTCCTTCTTGTTCTTTAATTGACGATGAATTACATCAAGGAAGAACATGTGATGAACGAAATATGGTTCATAAGATGGGCGATTTTCTTCCCAATCTATTTAAGGCAGCTGAAAAATTTGCACGTGACAATTGGACAACACAGACACCACCTATCATTCGAATTGATTATAATATGTCCTTAGCTGATCAGTGTCCATCGTTGAAGCGTTTCTATAAAGGTGTTGAAACTCTTGGCCAACCTTTACCACCAGATATGGCAAGAGGTTTCTTTACATTTCATGGTACAGCTCCAACGTCTATTAAACCAATTTGTGTTAATGGATTTGATCCAAGTCGTCGTGCCGGGCAAGCTTGTGGTGTAGGTGAATATTTTGGTGTGACTGCAGCTGTTTCACATGGTTATTCTTGTCGGGGAAGTGCACAAGGACCTTTTAGCATGATAATTGCTTTTCTTCTCAATTGTCCTCAACTAAGTACTCGTCCGGGCTTTTGTCATGTAATGAATAATCCACGTGATTGGTCACACGCATTCAATTTACCAGTTGTAGTAGTATCTTATGGTATTCAAACTACTTGTCCATCACCATTAGATAACTAGAAGAGAAGCACTGTTGATACATAGACGTCTTTTCAAAATTTGTAAAAGATATATAAATATATACCATTCTATTCTTGATAATAAAATGAAACATAACAAAAGAAGAATTTGAATAAGAGATGAATCAAGTAGATATACTGTCTTTGATGCTTTGTATCTATATTGACTAGATCAGAAATGATCAAATTGGTAGAAAGCCGAAAAACTAGGGTTTAAATGATGAAAGCGATCACATTTATAAGTGTAGCACTTATAGGAAGATCAGAACCTCAAAAATTTTAATATAAAAAATACACAATTTCTTTTTTTCTAAAATGCATATTTTTTCAAAGTATAACAGTATGAAAACGTCATTTATTTGTTGAGTTTCTTTTTTTTACATCAAAGCACAAAAGAAAGAAGAAATATTTAATCTGAAATGATTTGGTAGCATATGTATGTTTTTTTTTATGTAAACCTATCTGCATATCTCTTTTCTGATTCAGTTAGCATTACAGTAAATTCATCTCCTTTTTATTGGTACCTTGTTTTGTAGATAAGAGTGACGAAATTTTTATGCAGATGAAGTCATAGTTAAGATATATTTGCAACGATTGTTGATGAACAACATTTCCAGAAATATCACATAAATAGTCTGCCTGTTTATGCTTTTTCAATATTTGATAGAGCAAAAAGTTTTAAGTTATACGTAATAATGCATAATAATACAAAAAAAAAATACTTTAAATTAAACTAATTGCAAATTATCAAGCAGAAAAGTGCGTGAGTGTAGATAAGAAGAATATCACAAAAACAATCATACCCTAACACTCAAACTTCATCATTAATTAATATGATTACGAAGAAAACTTTGGTCTACAAGAATATGATTTGTTTTAGATGATTTTGTATTTTACTGTATTGTAAATGATTAGATACTCAATTGTCTACGAGTTGATATTATATATGGCTGTAATACTGCGACAAGCAAACATTAATTTATAGTTATTGACGACCGCAAATTCTATGAAACTACAGTATATTAAGTATCAGTGTTGATCTTCTCAGCGATTGTAATTATCGCTCAGAAAAATATAGATATTTTCTTTTATTGAGTAATCAGGATAATAGTCATGATTAACATAGTTGAAGGGAACTGTTGCATCGTAGACAGAAAAGAATAAACTGATGATTAATTTATGTAGAACAGAAAACGTTTAAAGCGGTTGTGTATGGAGAAAGAAAATACTCGTCTAATATCATTCTACATGGACGCAATATATAGACGCGGTTTATGTCTGTATATGAAGTGTACTGTATGGTATACAGGCGAATAGATATACGATCGTAATAGAAGCATATGTGCATTCTATATTTATCGGCTTGGACAGAACAAGACATTTTTGTTTCTATGAATATAAATTATATCACTTGGGTTATCATATACTTGTTTAGAGTTTTGAGAAAAAACTTAGAATTTTTTCTTTAAATAAAAATTCGAACACGTAATATTTTGTAAAACTGTACAATGTTTTGATGATCATGCTAAATCTATACTATTTCAAAGTTTTATATATAAAAACTTTACTTACAAAATTATCTGACTCATTAAATAAGAAATTTATTATATTCCAAATGAAAAAAAATTAGTTTCAAATTAAGTTTAGCAGATTAATATTCAATATTAAATATGATACTTATCTTGAGTAATTTAGAAATAACGTTTTACTATGAGTAATTAATCATTGGATTTTCAAAATAATGACTTAAAATTCATTTTTTGTTTGTTGGTGCATTACACATCAAGCAGAAAGTTATACTAACGTGAGAGTTTAGGCAGTTCAATTAAAATGCAAGAAAATGAAGCAATAGGAAGTTATTATTGCATAATGTCTTGGTATTATATATTTTTTATATTTCAGATAGAAGTGATAGCTTTTGAAATTTGTTCGTATAGTATTATGCTTTACTATTATTGATATTAGGATTATTTATTGCAAAATTATTAGCATTATTTATAACTCTGATACATTTGTAATCTATGATGATACCTTTGATAGTTTGTGTGAAAAAATTTCCAACAACAAAACAAAGATTTTTATATCTGGAAATGTCATTATCAGAATAGAACAATATAGTTTAGTTTTGGAATATTAATTATCAATATTCACAGTAGACAAATATTCATATATATGATTATTTTTTTTTACAACTACAAAAAAGTTTTCAATATCTTTATTTCTTTATCTATATACTAATTACTTGTTTTTTTTTTTACAAGAAAAATATTCGCAAAGTTAAAATGGCAGGGCTATAAAAACACTATCTGACACAGAAATTAACAACATTAAAAAAATACAATGGCTTTTCATTTATATATATATATATGTAACCATGTGTTTAATAATCGACAATCCATTGCCATGTTTCTTTTAAAAGAATATATTTGACAGCTTCGAAAACATCAAGTTTAATTGCTGTTGGTACTTTCCATGGATTTTTGCCATCAAGTTTTTCTTTATTTGGTTCATAAACACCTGTACATACTAAAATTGATTCACATGATGTTGCACTTAAATATTTCCAATCCGATAATAAACTATAACCACTAATACTTGTTCTTAAATTCATTGCTTGTTGTAATAAATGATTATACATATTTGCACCAGTAATATCAACATCTGGATTATCTCCAATAAAATAAATTTTATCAATTTTTTGTTGATCATTAGCTAATGCTATTTTATTAGCTATTATTTCAGCATATTGATATGATATTTCAAATGGTTTACCAACAAATGCTGTATATTTCAGATCGTTTCCACTTAAACTCTACATAGAAATAAAAAAAAAAGAAGTTCATATAATTTTTTCTTTTCTATAAATAAAAAAAATTATTCACTTTATATAATGTTTCTAAACATGTAAGAAAAGCACCATGACCAAAACGTGGTAAATCTGCAGCAGCTTTGAATACAAGATCTCTGTTACATGCAATGATAGGTATATGATCATGTATAGTATTTGAATCGTCCGGTACAACTGCAGGATTACCATCGGTTAAAAGAAGATCAATAATAACTTGTAATGATCTTTCCCATTGAATGGGTTCACCAAGTAAAACAATAGCTTGAAAAAGCAACAAAAATGAAAATATTGATAAGAAGAACAGTATGAATATCTACCTTCAATAGGACGAAAATTTTCATCATGAACAAGACCTTGAGTACGAATCATTTCACTCTAACATACACAATAAATATAGACATTTTGTTTTTTCTTAGTTACTTACTAATCTAACCCGATTCATATGATTAACCATATCTAATTCTGGAAATGCTTCACAAACGTTTTCAATTGTTGTTATACTTTTAAAACCGATCCTATTTCATAAAAACATAAATAAATAAGCATTAGAAATAATAAATCAAATTAGAATCGATACATTCGAGCAATATCTTCAGCTTGACCTTGTCCAGAAACAAGAACATGTTTATTATGAAAATCCGTTAATGTACGCATTGGTGTTTGAGCAAGAACAATTTGTTCAGGATGAATCTATATTTAAATATATATATATATATGCTTAAAAAAATCAAATGAAAAAAAACATTAGAATGATTAACTCACAGTTACTTCAAGTAGAGCTGATAATTGTTTAGCTTTATCTGATTCGAGCATACATGTATTTGAAACAAATACAATCGGTACATTGAGCTGAATCAATGTTTGAATTGCTGGTTTAGCAACTGTAATGAAATTTGGACCTTTTGTAATAACCCCATCGATGTCAAAGAAACATGCAAAGTTTGGCTATTTAATAAAAGAAATATTTAATAATAAATAAATAAAATAAGTACAAACATTAATCTACCGGTCTCATAATAAAGATGCTTTGTATTAATCAGCGTTCGGTAATATTGTTCGAAGAAACAAATTTATAATAAAAAAATTTTGCCGGAGCAAAATCAAGGAAATCGATGGTATTTATAGACCGGTGTTGATAATAGAAAAGGGGCACGAGAGGGTCCGCCCTGTGATACCATGTCGTACATACTAAACTTCGTTGTTTAATTTCATTCATGTGATCAATTAATAACGTTATTTAGTCAGATGATATATGTATCCTGGCTCAGAACATACCCTCACTGAATGATATTCTTCTATTATTGGCACATTCTTCTCTTCTTGTTCGTTGTGGAATGTCATGCCGTGAGGAATGACAGTAGAGAGGTAAAGAACAAAGTATATAGTTTTTCTATTTCTGTTCTGTTGGAAGACGAAGTTGAGGGCAAATGGATGACGCTGTTCTATTTATTCCTAGAGGCTACACATGTAAATCATATTGTAAGTCTATTTATATCTAATGCACTAAATGTGCAGGACATTTCAAAAATTAATCACCACAACTTTAATAGATATTCAACTCAGGTCAACATATAATTCAATTCTATCATGTAAATTTTGTTATCATGTGATTGTTTAAGGAAAGAGAGCAAATGTATATCTCATATTTAACTGCCGGTTTCTCTCTTTGTTTTTACTTGATCTTATTCTATAGTATACTTTTTATCAAGTGTAACTCATATCAATATTTTCTCAGTAGTCTGTACACTTTAATAATGAAAAAAATGTTTCTTTCATTTAAATTGAGAGTTTTAATATTCAAATACTATCGAACTTTTGTTTTTTTATTTTGATCATAATCAAAGCTTTATTCAAATAAGAAGATGGAGATGGAAGAGACTGAGAGTTTTAGCCTGATTATCGCTATGAATATGAGTCTTTTTTTTTGAAACTACACACACCTACATTCACACCCTAAAAGCTTTTAATGCAGTTCACTTTTAACCTAGTTTAAATAACAAACAAAACATCTGAACGATCATTAATTAACAATAAAGCCAATTTATTTTGCATTCTCAAACAAATATCATAGATAGATTTTTTTTATAGGAATCACTTGCTGCTACATATATGCTAAAGTCTATCTTTGTTTACCATAACTTCAACGATTCGAT